TGAGAATATTAAATTTAAACCAATGATTAGAGTAAAAAAATGACACAAAACCAATATACTAGTTAAAAGGCTTAGTAAAGTTATTGTAATGGAGCACTAAATATAATTCTGAGCTTCCTGGCAAGCAGGGCAAAAAAAGTTAAATATGATGACTTACATTATTTTCTTTTTCTGATTGAAGGGAGTGTCCTTACGCTTCAATTTTTTTCTGGTACTAAAATTTTAAAAGGAATTTAATACTGAGTAGCCTCAAAGGTAATGTATATGTCTTTAGCAAGAATTTTATATGAAACACAGGAAATTTCTTTTATTACCATCTTGTTCTCCTTTTTGAACTCCAGGCTCATATTAATAACTGACTAAATTTCTTCACCTAGATATTTTAGACTCACTTCAAACTGAACATATTCCAAACTGAACTTGTTAATTTCTTTCTGAAGTTACTTCATCCCCCTGTGTTCTCAGTTACAGCCTCACATATACCAGCTTCCAGGAAAACAAAAAACAAACAAACAAACAAAAAACACCTCAGGTTGTTCCAGTGATTTCCCCCCTAGTTCCAAACCACAATCAATCAATCAATTCTGAAGACTCTGTCTCCTTGATTTTGTTTAAATCCCTCTTGTACTCTCCACCTTCATTACCACTATCTTCCGTCAAGTTCTCACTATCCCCTACCTGGGCTATTGCATTGACTTCTTAACTTGCCTTCATGTTATTTCAACCTGTTCTCCACACTGCCTCTCTGATCTCTAAAAAATTGCAAATCCAATCTTTCTGAAAACCTCCCAAAGGCTACCCATCTCCTTCATGGTGAAATCTAAACTCCTGACTTAGCAAAGTGAGATGTTTCATCTGCTTGTTTTGCAGCCTTGTCTGCTAACATACCTCTTACAGACTCTCTCACACAAGCACACATCATTGTACCTGCCTCTACACTTTTCACAGATTATTCTTTCGGCATCAAAATCTCTTCTCCTTTGTAAACTTGGTGTCCTTTATTCTGGGAAGTCTTTCTTTTTTCTCATCTTTTAACACCCACCACAGTTGAGTTCTTCCTTCCTGTATTCTTTGGCTCCTAGGTATGTCTCAGTTATACTTATTACAGGTACTGTAACTATTTTCTTAGTTTCTATCTCCTCCAAGAATATTAACTCCTTAGAGACAGAAACAGAATCTCACTCATTCTAGGTATTCAACTCTACACATGTGCCAGACACCATTGGAGTCTGTTAAATATTTGCTGACCAAATGAGGAGATGAAAAGAGAGAACACTGTTTACATGGCCCAGTGAGGTCGAGGGTAAGATGTGCTGACTCATGGTAAAGGGATTGACAAAACATTCCCTTTAAGATACATGGAGGTGTGGAGTGGGTAGAGAGTGCTTTAGATAAACCTCTCTGAAATCATCATTCTGATAGCAGACAGCAAATGGCTTTGCTCTTTATGAAGACTTCAGCGGCTGACTTTCTGTTTGCTGGCCAGGCAAATCTGTATACCTTGACCATCTGTGTGTGGGCAGATGGGTAGAGGCAATCGTATTACATTAAAAAAAGGAAGAAGCCCAGCCCAGGAAGTGTATTATAAGGTTATTTCCCTGCACACCCAGGGATTCCCTCAATGAGTATTGTTTTTATCAAAGACCTGGTATAACATCAATAAAGAATCCTTTTGGGGTTAATGGGGGAAAAGGGGACATATATAATACTTTTAACAATAAAGATTAAAAAAGAAAAAGAAAAAAAGAATACCTTCCTTGTTCCACTCTACCAAGTTTCCCATCATATGAAGATTTTGTCAAGTGTATATGAATTAACTGGGTACTAATTTAAAAGGCAGATTTCCCAAGTCACCCCTGTCAGGTGGCCTCAGCATTGGCTGGGGATATTTTTCAGACAGGCCCCATTGTCTAGTTCTGTAGTGCTACTGTTACAGCTTTAGATTGACAGAGCTCAGGCTCAGTTTTGTTTTTATCCTCTATGGGCTATTTGATGTGAAGGTTTGTGGGCACAAGCAATTTCCAATGTCACCAGGCCCTGGAGGCCACTCTCTTCATGTCACACAGGCTCTGCATGAAGGCAGCTCTACTTGCATTCCAGCAAGAGGATGGGAGCTCCTGTGTATGCTAGGCCCATGCTGCATAGATTGATAATTTTTATGAATAATAGTATCTAGTAATCAATTTTGGAGGTAAATATTAACCAATCAAAGCCAAATAAAACTGCTATTCTCAAAAATCTTGCACTTACATTCCTTCCTTTGATCTTATAATAGCCCTGTAAGGCACACAAACATGATGTTCCCATTTTATAGATGTAGAAATGGAGACTCAGAGAAGGCAGGTGACTTCTGTAAGTTCACATAGATGGGTTGCTGATAGTTGAGCCCAGGTTTTCTGACTCTATTTTCATGCTGTGTTCCATCCCACCTTGCTTGCTCATCTCTGGTGTCATCAAATGTGGAAACTGAGAGAGGAACATCATGAGGATGATTACAAGGGCTTAACTGTGTCCAGGAAGATATTTGCTGTTATGATTTGTTATAAAAATGCTAAACACAAGTTTAAGTAAGAGTTCCCATTTCTGAATCATTGGAGTACAGACACTGTGGCTGTATGTGAAATCTCCAATTCAATGTATCATGGAGGTTTCTTAGGTCTTTTATACCAACATGAGCCTTAACAGCATTTCTGAGGAGTGCTGGAGATTTACTCATACTCACTAGTAAGAGCCAGTTGTGGGCATCTTTTCCTCGCTTTTTGGTTTACTGATGTCACATCGGTAGCTTAAAATCAGCAAATGCTACAGTTCAGGGCTCTTTTGTCCCAGAGAACCAGTGCACTACTGCTTACAGCTAACAGTGACTGGCACAAACTAAGAGTTCAGCAGTTCTCCTCTGTCATCTGCATGGAACCATCTTCAGTGTTGATTTGGCCTCTAACCACAAGTCATACCCCATTCATGGGGCCATGCCATTCCTTAAATAAGACATTCTTTTCATTAGAGCTTGCAAAATCAAATGGATGGGTTTCTACTAATAGCCTCTGATATTTGTATAGTTTGCAAAGTATTTTCACATCCCTCATCACTTTGAGCTATGTGTGGTCTGTGGGACAGATCTCTTCCCCTCTTTATAAAAGATCTGAGAAGTGATATGACCATTTGTAGGGTCACAAGTCTAGCAAGTGGCAGACAGGAGCTTGAACAGGGTCTTCTACATCCTTGTTCTGTGTTCCTTCCCCTTGTAGCAGGCCCCCTCCTTCATTTAGGACACTTGAAATACCTGCATCTAAGGTTACTGTCTGGTCATAGATAAGGGATACCTAGCATTTATTTTAGCCCCTGACCGAAAAGGTCAGACATATTAACTTAGGCATATCTACAAACAACTGTTAGCCCCCACCTTACTGATTCCCTGCATTGAAAGGAGTCTACTTTTACTCCCTCACTGTCCTTGGTTGTCTCTTTGATTCCTTTAAAAACTTTTAGGGGATTTTGTCTTAGAATCCTGCTGTATGTCCTGCCCTGAGCAAGAATTTGGAGCCTCCTGAGTGACCCACATTAATGTCCAGTTTCCCCTCTTGCACAACTCCTAGCTTCTCTATAGCCTGGCAATGGGATTATTGATTGTAAGCATTTCACAACACATTTTCAAAACATGTCAAAGGTCAAGAACTAGTGACTCATGGGCAGTCACATTTCTTTCTGCCTTAGCCCCTCAGTTATATTAGTGAAGTTGGTTACTGGAAGTCATTGAAGAAAGGGAGGTAAAAGTTAACTCTGTCCAGACCTAGCTGGCAGGATTGTTCAATGGCTTAAAAACATAATTGTTGATCTTCTATTTAGTGATTGATCTGCTGAATGACTTTATTTTTATTTTTTATTTTTTAAATTATAATAAATCTTTATTGTTCAGATTATTACAATTGTTTTTCCCTTTTCCCCCCATAGCTCCCTTCTACCCAGTTTCCACCCCATTCTCTGCCCTTACCTTCCCCCACCCCCACTGTCCTCATCCATAGGTGTATAATTTTTGTTTAGTCTCTTCCTGTACCCCCACATAGACACCCCTTTTTCCCTGAGAATTATCAATCCACTCCCATTCTATTCCCCTGATTCTATTATATTCACCAGTTTATTCTGTTCCTCAGATTTTTAATTTACTTGACTTTTAGAATCACTTGTTGATAGATAAGTATTTGTTGTTCATAATTTTTATCTTTACTTTTTTCTTCTTTTCCCTCTTTTTAAAGAATACCTTTCAGCATTTATATAATACTGGTTTGGTGGTGATGTACTCCTTTAGCTTTTTCTGATCTGTGAAGCTCTCTCTGTCCTTTAATTCTGAATGATAACTTTGCTGGATAGAGTAATCTTGGTTATAGGTTCTTGTTATTCACCACTTTGAATATTTCTTGCCACTTCCATCTGGCCTGCATAGTTTCTGTTGAGAAATCAGCTGATAATCGTATGGGTGCTCCCTTGTAGGTAACTAACTTTTTCTCTTGCTGCTTATAAGATTCTCTCTTTGTCTTTTGCCCTTGGCTTTTTAATTATGATGTGTCTTGGTGTGGTCCTCTTTGGATTCCTTTTGTTTGAGTGTGCACTTCCTGGATTTGTAAGTCTATTTCTTTCACCAGACATTTTGTCTTTTAGTTGTAGTTTTGAAATTGTTGTGCAATGTGGCAATTTAGTTGTTTATCTTTGCCACCATCTTGGTTTCTCCATGACTTTTGTTTTTAATACTTAGTCTCTTGAAAAATATAAGATGCTAATAAAAGAATTTCAGTGTTGATTTTGCCACCAACTTGTCCCAGAGTCTCAGAGTCCCTAAGAGATACTAAAGTGGGGGAAAAAAAAAAAAAAAAAGGTTTAGGTGATATCTGGGGAAAACTTTGCTGCTCTGAAAGCCTGTGACTCTATGTCAGTCCTTTAGACAACAAAGACATTACTGACATCAAGTATTGTTAGGTAATTATTGTATTTTTATCTCTGCTTGAAGACAGCAAAAGTGCCCTGAAGGTCAGTGTGGGAGAATGCCTCGGAGCACAGTAGCAGAGAGAGTTCCAGACCAGGAGGTAAGAGTTTTGGGTAAATTTGCAACTTTGCTACCATGCTTTGAATTCACTAACAAATTTCTAGGGCCTGTTAGAGTCTCAGTTTCCTCACCTGTAATATGTAGATAGTATGCTTCTACATGGGCTAGCTGAAAGTTTGGGGGGGAAAAGATTATTAAAGTAATATATATTTTTTCCTGAAATATTTTTTTTCACCCCTCCAAATAATCTAAATTATATTATTAAAGTTTCCTAGAGCCTTTAATAGAAAAATCATGGGACTGGAAATTTCTTAATAGTACTTTTATAGGTTTTTATACTTTACCCTAAAGGTGGTTTCATTGTAGTACAATATAATCACAGAAATAAAAAGAAATAAAAAGTGTGATGATGCCAAAACCGGTTTGGCTCAGTGGTAGAGCGGTCTGTGGACTGAAAGGTCCCAGGTTTGATTCCGGTCAAGGGCATGTACATTGGTTGTGGGCACATCCCCAGTAGGGGGTGTGCAAGAGGCAGCTGGTCGATGTTTCTCTCTCATCAACGTTTCTAGCTCTCTATCCCTCTCCCTTCTTCTCTGTAAAAAATCAATAAAATATATTAAAAAATAAATAAATAAAAATAAAAAAATAAAAAGTGTGATGACATTAAAGTGATTAGTCTGCACCTCTTTATTCACCAGCACAGCCCCCTCCACACATCTGTATTGCATATTCACCCTCCTCAAGCTGGTGTGGGCAGCACTGCTCCCCTTGCTCCTAACTAGAGAAGGAGCCGTGAAAAAGGAAATAAACTCAGGTTTGTAGAGCACACCTGGGTGAAGAAAGGCAAGCACATGTTTTGACTTGACAAAATTGCTTTTGTCCCCTCCCCACTTTGTCCTCTCATCAGTACATGTCAGAACGTAGAGACTTTGGCAGTCACTGCTCTCATCTCTTCACTGTACAAAAGAACAACCAAAGTCTGAGAGCTGAGAAGTGACTTATCCAGAGTCCCACAGGAAGCTTAGGGCAGAATTAGAAATCAAGCATTGGTCTCTTGACTTCTCCTGTCTTCTCTATCCATTGCACCAGATGTGGAGAGAACCCAGAGATCCTTGTTGAATATCTTGGGCTTCTGGTTTTCAAGGACAGTTTTATGACTAACAGCAATGATGCCTCAAAGGCTATAGTAGCTAGTTTGACTGAACTCATGAAATAAACATTTATCACAGAGCACATGTCATCAAACACCTGCAAGATCTGAGCATTGACACCAAAGCTGCTTTCCTTGTCAAAGAAAAGAGTGGGGAGAGGGGGGGAGAGAACTTGGCTAAACAAAGCTGGCAGACTTTTTACTAGAAAATTCAGAGGTAATTTCTGGAGGAACAGGAACACATTTCTAAAGGATTTAATTAACAAAAAATATGATTGGATGAGCTTGGTAGTTAAAGAAATGAGGACATCGAGTATTGCCTGGTGAATAAGGCCTCCTCCAGACAGGTCCCTTCTATCTGCTTTGGTCACAGAGTCTTGAAAGCCTCAAGATGGGCAGGCTCAGCGGTTGCTCAGAGCAATGCCCCAAGTTGCTGGTTTCCAGGTAGGCTCCCATATAAACATATCAAAGCACTTGTGGTTAACACTGGAATCTCTTCTCATTAGTAGAACACTACCAAAGTCAAAGAGACATGGGCCATTTATTTTTCAGTCTGAGTCTATTCATTCTAAGTGGATTCTTTGACCTATTTTGTAGGTTAATGTACATCAACAGAATGGTACAGTTTCCAAAAACACTGTCACTTCTTTTTGGCTACCCATTATTTTTAAACTATGAGATCTGTTCATTTATTTACTCATTTAATAGTTGTTATTAGGAGATCATTGGACTAGAAAACCTATTGCTCTTGCAGGTGTAACAAGCTTTCTGAACCTCAATTTCATCACTTGTAAGATACTATTTATTTTCTGCTTTGCCAACCTCACCTGCTTTTTGTGAGCATCAAATGAATAAAATGTGGTTTAAACTCTAAAACCTGCCAAGTTTGTGAAATATTGTTGCTACTATCTTGTGCCTAACAGTGTGCTAAGCACAGGTGGGTTACAAAAAAATGGGAGAGTTGGTCCTACACTATGGGAACTTACAGCCCTGTGTTAGGAAACCAAGACACACCCCAATGAAACAGATATGTAGCACCTCAAGGCTGTATCTACTACTTATATGATGGGTAAAGACTGAGAACTCTAGTAGTGCAGAGAAAGGGAAGATCATTAATAGGCAGGAGGAAGTAAGGGTTGAGTTGGTAATGAAGTAGAGATTATAGATTAAGTCTTTTTGGGTGTGGTGTAGCTGAGTCAACTATTGGATGGTTTTCTTGATAGATAATCTACTTGTCAAGCTGGGGTTATGGATTTAAGAATTTGAGGAGAATTATAATAAAGAAAAATAGCAGTTTTTAGGCCAATGATAGGTTCTGATAAAATGATTTGGAAGGACTCATGTATAGGATGGACTGTGGGAAGATACAGTATAGGAAGGAAAAGGACTGCTGCAGAAGAGTCCAAACTTGGGGTGATGTGGTCCTGGACCAGACCAATGGGAATAATAAGGAGAAAAATGCATGCAAATGAAAGATAGTTCTGTTTGTAGGTGATGAACAAGTCTTATTAGCCCTTGATCACTATTGCTGTCTAGATTTTGAAATTTAAGTTAAATTGAGCAATGAAACACAAAAATAGGGGTAATCTTTCTATGTACATTGAAGCACTTGAAAAACCCAAATTGGTCTCCCAATGTCTATTTTTTCAATCAAAAAGGAATTGAAGTTGCTGGCTGACCCATAAAATGAGGGATTTTCAGAGTAGGACAAAACCATAAAGGTTACCTGGCATACAAGTTGCCAATTTCAGAATTTCTGCTCCATTATGCCCACCAAGTGCTCATCCATCCTCTTTAACCTCTCTAGTGATGGGAGCTCACTACCACTGGTGAAAGCTATCCCTTGGCTATATATCTTGATAGTGTCACCATTTTTATTTTCTCTTTTTGTAAATTTTAAAAGTTAAACTCATCTCACATCTTCTTTCTTCAGCCATTTAATTAAAGATTCAGGTCTTTCTTCCTGAGTTTTCCTTAACACCCTCATTTATAAATCCCCTTTTACACTGAGTAAGTAAAGTGCAAAGAAAGGCTCATCACTTCTATTTTTATTTATCACTTGACCAAAAGACAAGAGAGTTCAATTCTAAACCTTACAGAAAAATAAATAAATAAAGGGAACACACACACACACACACACACACACACACACACACAACTTTTGGGATCCTTATACTTTGTCTTTATTTCAACCAGGGATTATTATTATTATTTATTTTATTTTTTTTGCCCTTGGACAAAAGTCAGGTCCCATTAATCTGTGAAATAGGAGTTTTTATCTCTTTCTTTTTTTAACTGATCTGCTGGATATCTTTCCAGGGATTTGGTGTCTGGAAGCAAATTCAGTGAGTGGGAAAGGTTGACTAGATTCAGAACAGTCCTGCCAAGTAGACAAGAAGAGTAGGAGAAGTCAACAATAGAGGGAGCAAAAATAAGGCTTATAAGGATGTACTGTATATTTGGAGCAGGGAAAGTTTCTGTCTAAATTTTAAGCATTTCATTTTATCAGTCAGTAGCAGTTGATATTTTAAAAATAAAAACAAAAAAGATCCTATCTAATAAAATATAATATGCAAATTGACCGTCACTCAAAAGCACAAGATGGCCACCCCCATGTGGTCAAAGATGGCTGCCCCCATGTGGACACAAGATGGCCACCACAAGATGGCCTGTAGGAAGGGCAGTTGTGGGCAGTTAGGGGTAATCAGGCCAGCAGGGGAGGGCAATTGGGGGAGACAAGGCCAGCAAGGGAGGCAAGTTGCAGGGGGACCCAGGCCTGCAGGTGAGGGCAATTAGAGTGACCAAGCCTGCAGGGGAAGATAGTTAGGAGCAACCAGACTGGCAAGGATGGCATTTAGGGGTGACCAGGCCTGGCAGGGGAGGGCAATTATTGGTAATCAGGCTGGCTGGGGAGCAGTTAGGCATCAATCAGGTTGGCAGGGGAGTGGTTAGGAGGTGATCAGGCTGGCAGCCAGAAGCTGTGGCAATCAGGCAGAGGTAGGCAAGCAGCTGGGAGCCAGCAGTACTGGATTGTGAGAGGGATATATGACTGCCCATTTGGGTCTGCCTAAACAGGCAGTTGGACATCCCTCAAGGGGTCCCAGATTGGAGATGGTGCAGGCTGGGTTGAGGGACCACCCCCCCCCATGCACGAATTTCATGCACCAGGACTCTAGTTAATAATAATAATAATAGACAACCAGGAATCCTGAAACTTCTTAATTGATTCAGAAGGAAGGATATTTTTATACACACTATTATAGTAGGGTGGTCTTTTACTACTGCCTAAGCAAGTTACATTAGTATAACCATGTCTGTTCCAGGCTGTGTTGCAGAAAAATTTTAGCACTTTAAACGTTTATGGTAGAAAGGATAATCTTTAACAGAACATAGAAAATGCTTCATCAGATCAAAACAAACAAGCAAACAAATAGAAGCAGGTCAGTTTTCCCTTTTTGGCATTGTGCAGGACCATATGCTACAAGAGAAGAGAATTTAAAAATAGCCTGTCACACAGCTCACAGTGTATCCCTGGGACATGGTGGGGGTGGGAAGGATTGCCTCACACTTAATAATAGTGACACTTCACATTTATACCAACCTCTTCTCAAAGAGTATTTTTTTAGTTATTTTGCCTTTCTTTAAAAAAAAATCAAATCTTCCTGATGTCTCTGTTAGTTGAGCAGGAGGTGATACAATTCTTCCCACTTTATAGAGATGACTGGGGTATTAAAAGTTAAAGTCACTAACTCAGGATTACAGAGTGACTAAGGGATCTGTCCTGTGCTGTTCAAAACACAGTGGGATGCCAAGTGCAGCAATATCCTGGGCTGTGAGAGCCACGAGTTCATAGGATGTTGCACAAAAAAGAAAAAGTTGTTCCTCATCACTTCCGTTTTAAAATGCACTTGCCTCTTTCATTTTAAGCATATCATAGGTTTCTAATTTTAAGGCCAATTTGTTAAAAGCCACAGTGATGTATATTCACAGACCAACTTCCATAGTCACAACAACAAGGTAATTTTTCACATCTCCCTAACTCCTTACACCTGAGATGGTTTTACAATTTGCTGTCTCACCAGATCTAGGTAACAAGCTGTCATCTATGTAGGGCCAGAGTTATGATGCAGGGAACAAAACCTGAGGGTGTGAGGGAACTTTCTCACCTGTTTGGAAAAACAGACACTGATCAAAGCCTATCTGTTCTCTCTATAGGTCTGGACTGTTTTCCTGCTGTCTCCTAGGTCTAAGCAATGTGGTGTGACTTGATGCAGAGTTTCTGTTACTAGGAAAAATGTCTCCTCTGTGCTGGGGGTGGGGGAGAGGACACTCTTCCTCCCAACAGCTTCTAATTAGTTGCATAACCTGCAGGGTGAATTCTATATGTGGCAAAAATTAAGAGAAGTCAGTAATAAGTTCCTTTTTTAGGGGAAGAAAAAAAAAACCTTGGCATGCTGATGGTCCAGGTGGACAATTTGAAGATGTGTGGGGTTCTCTGAGGCATTGCTGGCTAGCCTCAACTCCTGTTCTGACCTGAACTCCCTCTGCTCTGTACCATACCCACTCTTCTTCCAACACCCTGAATTCCTGTGCTTTCCTATTCATTGAGCAAAACCCTATCCTGGTGAAATGAATGACCCTCTCTTACCTCAATTTGTTGCACTTGAGCAGCAGAATGCTGTTAACATTGCAGATCATGCTGACCATTCACTTTAAATTTATGACCACAACCCTCAAATGGACACTACTAGAGAGCCCTTCAACACTTCTAGAAAACTTGATTTTTCAATCTCTGGATCTTTCACTCCTTTACCTTTCTCCTTTAGATTCCCTCACACTTCATCCTCTTATATCCCCCAGGATGATGACCCTCCTTCCTTACAATCAAAGGAAAATAATTCCATCTTTCCCAAACTGGCTCCTTTACTCCCTTGCATCTGTGCCCCATCTGCTGCCTCCCTCCTGTCACAGTGGTTGCAGTTTCATAGTTTCTAGGACTGACCTTTACAATTGTCCTCCCGAGTCTCTCCTTTCACTTACTTCTCTTTTGTAGCATCATTTTCTCTTGTTCTGTTACATGCATCCTATCAGCATTTAAGTATGCCTTTAAAACAACCAGTAAAATACAACTCTCTCTTAATCCTACACATCCCTTCAACTACCACCCCATTATTTCATGCCTTCATAAAAATCTGCAAAAGTAAGATCTACATTTCTGTCCTCTGCTTTTTCAGTCCCATCAACTCTGCTTCCTCAGCTCTGCTTCATGTTCCATAGTATTCCTATCCGTCTATATGCAGATAACTCCACATCGCTACCTCCATCTGACCTCTCCCTTGAGCTCCAGAGTTGATAATTCTAATTATGTTTGAAATATCTAATGGGCATTTCACTCAAGCCATGACCCAAAACAAACAATTGATTTATCCCTATTCCTCCTCCCTAAGTCTTTCCTGTCATGATAAGTGGTACTAAGCCTTCTAGTTATTTGTTCATAGCAAATAACTAAGTCATTCTGTGTGTGTGTGTGTGTGTGTGTGTGTGTGTGTGTGTGTTTTCATTTCCCTCAAACCACACGTTTGAACATATGTCAATTTAGAATATTTTTCATCATCTCCACTGCTGAACATCTTATTCCAACTATCATCATGTTCTTGTCCAGACTTTTGCCACCATAGTCAGCTTTTCACGCAGTAGCCAGAATGATGCTTCTAAAATCATAAATTATAATTTCATTTCTTGGCTGAATAATCTTGCCATGAACTATAAAACTCTGCAGGGCCTGGTCCCTGCCTACCTGTCCAACATCATCTCCCTCAACTTTCAGCATTTTCCACAGAGTTCACTGGTCTTTTTCTCCCTCAAACTTGCAAATGCTTCCAAATCAGAGGACCTTTGCACTTGCTTTTCTGTTTGGAGGTACTTTTAGATTTCTAATAGTGTTTCATCTTGTCATTCAGGCCTCAGAACAAATGTCTTTTCCTTGGAACAAATACACCTGGTCAATGTTGCTAAGGTATTTTTTTCCAACATCAAAAAAATATTTCATCTTCACTCACCTCCATAGACAAGTGTTTTTCCTTAGTTTGATTTTGGTGAATTATATTTTCAACTTTTATAGTGAGTCAGTATAAAAATGGACATTGAAATGTGTGGCTACACTGTCCCTTGTGTTTATGAGGACATTATTTGCCATTTCATTCAATAACACTTTCTATAAAGCCCCAAATGAGAAATTCTTTTAGGTCTAAGTGCTAGAAAAGCTTTGCTTCCACTGAGGAACTGATGACACAATTGACTTTGTTTTGTTTTGTTTTTCTTCATTCTCTCTCTCTTTCTCTCTCTCTTTCTTGATCAGAGTCAAAATTTTGGCTGATGTATTGAAAATTTGTGGGACTATAATTACCTGTCTACTAGACAGCTTATCTAATAGAACTTTCTACAGTCATGGGAATATTCTGTACCTGCAATGTCTTATAAGTAGCCACTAGCTACATGTGGTTACTGAACACTTGAAATGTGGCTAGTGAATCTGAAGAACTAATTTTTAAATTATATTTAATTATAATTAACTTACATTTAAGCCTAGTGGCTACCACACTGGCCAAATGTATAACCACTGGCTCTATTCCCTCGCCTTCTAAATCCAAGGAAATTGGCCCTAGGCTGCCTACTTGGAATCTGAGGCAAACCTTTCTGAAGTTACCTCCTTCATGACCATGCCTGAGACAGGGTAACTGGTAAACCAATTGAAAATATATAAGAATAGTTCTATCTTCAGTACATCATCAGGAAAGGATGGCCTACACTAAATATTGATGATTTGGGTGTTACTATTTTTTTAAAATACAGAATGATGTGTTATTTCTTGTATTATATAAAAGCACAGGACTGAAGCGAGAGGACTTGAGTTCTTAGTCTCAGTTCAGTTACTAAGTAGCTGTATGATTTTGTTCAAGTCAAAAGCTCCTCTTCTCTCAAATGAGAGGATTGGACCAAATGACCTTTAATTTCTTGCCTCACACTAGCCATAATAATGATAGCAAATGTTTACTGAGTCCTTAGAATGTGCTGAGGTACAATAGTATATTTGGTTCTATGGAGGTTGAGGATATTGCTTCCAATTTTAAAACAGAAGAAACCGAGCTTTCATGTTTCCCAAGGATCCAGAGTTGACAAATGTTGGACTCTCTGTCTGAATCTCTTTGTTCTGGTGTCAGGGCCTACCTTTTTACCTGTTCTGCCCTCTCTAGATTTTTTTTATATATATATACAGGTCAGAAAACCACTGTTTTTCTGCTTAAACAAGAAGTTCTTTTAATTGTTTCAACCAAAACTTCCCAGTGGGCTCAAATATTGTCTCCCGAGTCTTGGAGTGCCAGGAAGGGCCCAATACAGACAGAATTAATAGGTCAGTTGCCACCAGGCAAGAGCAACCTTGTTTATTTGTCCAATATTCCATACAAATAGTATCACTTTCTAAGTATGCCGTGATATGAAAGTTGCTGGGGAGCATGTGGGCTTAGCTATATGACATGACTCACTAGCAGGGTTTATCTTGGACTTTTTACAAGTTACACCACACGCATTCAAAAGATTCTATCCTGAGGGGATGTTTTATAGCATAAGTCTCAATTCTCATTCCCTAAGAGTGGGTTATCTCAGTCATCCTTAGATTTCCAAAATGTCCATCTCAGCAATTGGCCCTAAGCTAACCATCAATAAATAAGATATAGATATAGATATAGATATAGATATAGATATAGATATAGATATATATACCAATGTCCTTATGTTGGTTAGAATCTTAGAAAGTTAGAGCCAGAAAGAGCTTTGGAAATTTTAAGAACAACCCAATGAGTGTAAAGAATCTTATCAAGGTCAGTATCAAAGCTGGAAGTAAAACTCTGGTCTCTCTCTTGTCCAGGGCCTCCCTCTCCTCTTCTTTCTCCTTGCACCCTTCCCCCCAACATGTCCTCCATGCCCCACCCAACTGATAGTCAGACTACTTCTTTGGAAGATGAGGCATAGAAAACATAACTGAAATTTCATCTCGCCTCTGCAGATGTCAAAAGCAATGGAGCCCCAGTGGCACCTCCTCTGGCTCCATCAAAGGCCACAGACCCATCAGAACCATTCAGCTTAGCCTGAACCACCCAGAGAGCCACATGCCTGAAGGCTGTAGCAGTGCTTAGGAAAGTGAGAGGAAGTGGAAACGTGTGAGCAGAGGGCTCAAAGCAACGGGCTCACCACCGGAAAAAAAAATAAAAATAAACATGCTCAGAAATAGTGTAACTGATATGCAAAGAAGATCAAAACAAGGGTTTTAAAATATCTTGTCTGTTTTAGAGGAGGTGGGGGTGATAAATGAAGCAAGTTACAAAAGTATGTTGGGAAGGTGGGGGTTAGAGGGGTGGTTCTCTGCAGCCTGCCAGGCATGGGAGCTTGAGACCCAAGGGCATTTCAGATGAAAATGTGGAAGCTAGAAATTTTTATGGGTAGTTCAGAGACAGATATAGATTCAGGAGCAAGAACCCCAGAGTCTCTAAGCTCCAAAATCCTCTATGCCTCTTCCTCTTGCTATTCCCTGACATTCTGCCCCATTTGGACATTTGTCCCAGGGCAGGGCATTACAGATCAGACAAGCCAGCAGTGGAGGCACTTGAGAATCCACCCAACCTGGCTACACTTGAAGACTCAAGTAGGAGTTTGGAATCAATGTTCCAGGGTTAAGTGCAGGAACTTAGCAAACTCATGGAAGACAAATTCCCCAGTCTTGCAAAGTGCAATTACCTTTCCTTTCAGTGTGTTTTGAACAACTTCAGAAATGCTCTCTCTTTAAAAGAACAGTTTTATTTTGAAACTTGTTCCTGAAATGGGAAACCAAAAGGCTAGTGATGACAGTGCTGACTGTTTTTAGCCTCCTCCTGCCAATTTAACCATCCCTAATAATAGCTCAAAGATCATGGGACATTCCCAGCATCAGAGGACCATCAGTAAACAGCATATGTACAAAAGGGAGTATTCATTTTTCTATGGATCTAGAGAAGAGGAAGAATGGGGGTGGAAAGGAGTGGGAGACCTGGGATTTGGAAATTAACCATCCCCCATTTGGTCCAGCATTTATACTTACTACAAAGCACATTTAAATTTATTATCCAGTGAGATAGACTAGGCAGGAGCAATTATTCACATTTGCCAGTTGAGAAAATGGAGGCTCTAGTATAAGATGGTACAAGGACACCTCCACTAGTGACCCAAAGTGTTGGCACTCTACTCCCAGTGCTGCGTGTTCACTATAGAGTCCGAGGAGCCAAATATGGGTATCAGGCCCCTTTGCTATGAACTGGAGTCATCCCTCTCAACCTTGTCCTCCTCCTTCCCACTCTCCTCTTCCTTTAAATGAAGGAGGGCACATTTAATAGTTTAATGGTAACATGGACATTTTCACTTTTGATCCAACATGTTTTGATGGTTTCTTGATTAGTAATTATAAGGCAAATCTTACACCACACTCCTCTTGAACCTGACATGATAGAGAAATACCACCCTCAAAGGGAGGGTGGGGATAAAAGGGAGAGATCAACCAAAGGAATTATGTACACACATATGAACATAACCAGTGGTCAAGGACAACAAGGGGGTGGGGGCAGGAGTGGGAAAGTGGGGGACTGGAGTGGGGGGTTGAGGACAAATATGTGATACCTTAATCAATAAAGAAATTAATTTTAAAAAAAGAGAAAAGAAAAAGAAAAACACCAATAGATGCATATGATGACCATTTCCTGACATGTAAAGCCCAGCCCTGGAATGATATGGGAGACTGCAGGTAGTCTACCTGCAATTCCTGCTGATGCAGGTTTGCTCTCTAGGCTCAGAATGTAGTATTTTTGACAGGCTGTGGAATTTCACAGGGGAGAGTGCACTGTGGGCTGAAGGTGTCCAGGGGATAAAGCTGTGTCTTGAAGGGTAAATAAGGATTAGAAGTGGGGAGGTCTAGGGAAGCAACAGTATGAAGGCCTAAAAGTTTAAAAAGTGCATGGGAAATTGTAGGAAATTCACATAAACCCATCAGGCTGAAGCCATGGAAATAATTTGGGGGAGACACTTTGGAGTCACACTGGGAGTTCCTTCAAAGACCAGCTGAATCACTGGAATTTTACTCTGCAGGCATTTAGGAGTTTCCAAAGCTTTGTGAATGCAAATAGTCTCAAAAGAAGGATGTTCTAGAAAGCTCCGTTTAGCTGGGTATGCAAGATAGATTATGGAGAGCTGGGAGAAGGAAGATCATAAGAAGCACTTGACTTGGAGTGCTTTCTAACTATACAAACTTGATCAGATCAGTCCCAGATAGATGCATAAACATATATAATTATCTCCTCTTTAATGTGAACACCTGCTCTATCTATCCTTCAGGGAGGTCTTGGACATCACATGCAGTGAAGTTAAAATGCTTTTGTAAACTATAAAACTGTAGAACAAACATGAGAGATAATAACCCAGGTTGGTGGGATACCATGGAAGCATGAGTTGTTTGGTGGCCCTGGGGATGGGTGGTATGGGGGGAGGTTGAATGAATAAGAAGCCTCCATTTGGGGGCATCTTCTCTCTGGGAAGATATTTTGTTTTGTTTTTTTGTTTTTGTTTTTTAAAAATATATTTTATTGATTTTGTACAGAGAGGAAGGGAGAAGATACAGAGTTAGAAACATCGATGAGAGAGAGTCATCGATCAGCTGCCTTTTGCACACCCCCCACTGGGGATGTGCCTGCAACCAAGGTACATGCTCTTGACCAGAATCGAACCTGGGACCTTTCAGTCCACAGACTGACGCTCTACCACTGAGCCAAACTGGCTTCGGCATGAGAAGATATTTTGTTTCTTCCCTGGTACCTGCTGTGTCACCTGATACAGACGAAAACATGTTGAGATGAGAGTAAGGAGTCAAAAAAATCCCGGGGTCTCTAGTAAGTTTCTCAAGGGAAAGAAACACACACACACACACACACACACACACACACACACACACAAAGCTAGCTTTTCAATCTCAAACTAGAATTAAAAATAAGCATTTGAGATACTGTTTTGGAGAGTAGCTGAGTTATTGTAAAGGACAAAGAAGAGTCAGTTTGCACAAGGTGATAGCTCAATGGCAAGATCTTGCCAGTGGAAGTGTCTGAGAAGGTGCAAGCAGAAGTCAGCTCTGCAATTCTCAGGGGCTACTCATTGGAAGGCAGGCCTTGGTATCTTGGATAGGAAGAGTTAATACAAATGAGTAGGGTGAAAATTGTTGATACTGATACTAGATTAGGAGGGTTGAGAGAGAACCATCTGGGCTTGCAGCCAACCCTGAGCTTCTACTAGAAGCATTTCATAACCTCCTCCTTTTTTCATGTGTTATGTCCTTGGATTAAATAGCCAGTGGGGGCATTTTGGGGCCATGGACAGTGTACTGGACTTAGAGCCAGGCTTGGCTCTAACACTGCCCAGTCATGTGACCCTTCCTCTGGGGCCGGGTTAGATAAGACTGCATGATTCCTGGGGCTCCCTGCAGATCTAGACTTCTGAGAAGTAGGGGACAGGCCAGGCTATCTTTTTAGGTTGGAATACAAAGAGGACAGCTACTGTGAGTGAACTGACCTACAGCCTAGAGTGTCTGTGTCCTGTGACCAAGCTTAAGATCAGGCCATGACAGCAACATGGGAATTTCAAAAGAGTTCAGCTTGGGGTAGAGGCAAACTGTGATTGCCAATCAAGGCTTGTAGCTCAGATAAACCAGAAAGCTGGGACCCCTCTGAGTTCATCTTTATCAAGCTGTGGAGTTTCATGTAACTTGGAGGAGAATACCCCTAATCAATTCCATATACAGTGACAGCATCTTCTTTTTGAGCCCGTGAGATCATAAGCCACAGATTATTCCACTCCCACTCCCATTTTTCTTCCCCAGGTCTCAGGAAACAGGATCTATTTCTTTTCATTCTCCAATTTCCCAAGTAGATTCTCAGTGATAGCTGATAAATGCATCTCTCTCTCTCTCTCTCTCTCTCTCTCTCTCTCTCTCTCTCTCTCTCTCTCTCTCTCTCTCTCTCTCTCTCTCTCTCTCCCTATGTTTTTTCTAGTGACTAATAATAGCTTTGGGAAGTAGGGTGTTGGGGTATGAAGGCAAAGTTCATAGAGCTGACCAGTTGTGCTGCCCAAACTGTGCTGTGTGTCTGTGTAGGCAGAGTTCATAGGGAGCAGCTCTGTCTCATCTCTGAAGGGGGACCCATTATTCCTGAGTAGCTCAGTGTTACCACCTACATTCTCTGGCCTTCCCTAGAGGGTCCACAGGAACATCCAAATGAAAGAAACTTTTAGTGAGCACCTACTAAATGCCAGGATCAATTTTTAAATGAGACAAAAAGATCCAGAGATGGTCTGTCATAGCCTCTGTTTCCAATGAGGAAAACAGGATAAGTGGGAAAACCACTACAATAACATGGAGAATATGGGAGTGCCCACAAGTACAGGGAGACTTCAAAAAGTGAAGAAAGGGAGCTGTGTGGAAGAGATAATTTGAGATAGAACAATCACCAACATTATCATAATTTTTATGGTTATCGTAGCTAACTTTCATTGAGCCCCTTGTGTAGTATCTTGGCTTCTCTTTAGGAAAGTCCTTCCCTTTTAGATAACATCATTTAGTAGATAAAAAACATGAGGTTCAGAGAGGTTAAGTAACTTTCTCAAGGCCACCCTAGTAAATGAGTAGAGCCCATGATATCCATGGTGGTATGGATGTGAAGACAACTTGAAGTGGAAGAGCTGAGCTCAATTTTAATGGAGTAGGGGAGCAGAGTGCAATAAGACCAGTGTGACCTAAGGGTTAGTGAGGAGTTTGACTTTGTTCTAGAGCCTGAAGGGAGACTAGTAGTGCTGGAGCAGGGCAATGGAATAATGAAAAAGTGGCTTTTGGAGTGTTCCTTTAGCAGAGTGCACATGGTCTGCATGGACTAAAGGCAAGGGGATGGGGCTGAGAGACTGGAGTAGAAAATGATAGTGATGAGCCGAAACCGGTTTGGCTCAGTGGTAGAGCATCAGTCTGCGGACTGAAAGGTCCCGGGTTCAATTCAGGTCAGGGGCATGTAGGTTGGTTGCGGGCACATCCCCGGTGGGGGGTGTGCAAGAGGCAGCTGGTCGATGTTTCTCTTTCATCGACGTTTCTAGCTCTCTATTTCTCTCCCTTCCTCTCTGTAAAAAATCAATAAAATATATTAAAAAAGAAAAGAAAAAAAAGAAAATGATAGT